CAGTTACGTACAAGGATGACGGACAAAGACAGGTGGACCGAACCAAAGCTGTTTGTCGGCATTTTTCAACTAAAATTGGTTACACGGCTGGCAATACATCAAACTTGCACACTAATTTGAAAAGGCATCACCCAAACGTGAATATCACCGGTACCAAAAAAAAAAAGACTGAATTGCAAACCCAACTCCCTCTAGCATTTAAGCCTCCACCACTCGCAAAAAGTTCAGAACGAGCCAAAGCTATTACAAACGCCAAATATCCTTATGTCGCCATGTTAGCAAAGCGCTACCTCGCTGTATCTGCTACCTCTGTCCCTAGCGAGAGGGTGTTCTCCACAGCAGGAGACATTGTTAGTGCCAGCACATCTGCGCTTTCGGCAAGCAATGTGGACAAGTTCATTTTTCTATAAAGAAACATGAAAATACAATGACAAGCAAGTCATGATGTCAAACTGGCTGCTTAGGTACTAGTAAAGTTCAAATACAGATTATTTCAGTTCATCGAAATGCTGCACCTTAATGTTTATTTTATTATATTTTGTATTTATTTGAGTGAATACATTATTCACAGTTTAATAATAATAAAAAAATATATATATATTTTATGTTTTGTGATAATTGTTTCTGCTGTACCGAAAACGAACCGAACCGTGACCTAAAAACCGAGGTACGTACCGAACCTTAATGTTTGTGAACCGTTACACCCCTACAAGAAACAAATTGGACCAAACGTTTGATGTCAAAGTGCTGCAGATGCATTTTGGTCTGCAGCAAAGAAACCATCGATGCTTCATACTTACTGACGTGTAATCTATTTCTGTTTCAGGAAAAGGCTCAGCAGGGAACGGGTGCTGCAGGCAGTGACCCCAACTCCGACCCCTCTGATCCTGCCGACGACGAGCCCCTCGCTGACGGCTCAGAAGCCAGTCGGCTGCTGGATTGGCCTCAGCTGGAGCTCGAGCGTGTCAACAGTTTCCTCACCAGTCGGCTGGAGGAGATTAAGAACACCATCAAAGACTCAATCCGGGCCTCATTTAGCATGTACGACCTCAATCTGGATGTTAATGACTTCCCAAAGAAGGCCGCCACGCTGGAGGGCAACCATTTACTGTCCCATCTCAATGGTTCCTCTGACCTGCAGCAGATAGACCTGGACTTGGCACCTCTCTCACTGGGAAACTTTAAGAGCCACCTGGACCTGGTTAATGGATGGGAGGACACGACTACGGTCTCATCCGCTAGTACAGCCCCCAACACCACCACGGCCTCAGGGGTCCCTCCTGGGTCCAAGGACATCCAGCGGTTGCACACTACCCCCAGTCTTTCGAAGCTCATAAGGGTTCGCTCCCCAGAAAGATGCACTTCCACTGGACCTGACAGTTTGCTGCAGGTGCCAGCCCAAACCACAGCTAAATCGAATGAGGACGCCCCCGATCCCAAGAACACGACGGTTGGGAACGGGAGTGCAAAGTCAAAGAAGAATAAAAAGCAGCAGCAGCAGCAGCAGCAGCAGCAAAGACAGGAGCAATCTGTGTCCGAGCAAAACACCAACAAACCAACCAAAGCTGCCTCTGGGAATGACACACAGAAAAGCAATGAGTGCAAAGAATCGGCTTCTAACGGCACAAAAGGTGGGAACAGACAGCCCCAGCACTCTGCGGAGAACCAGAGGAACGGGCCAAAGAAAGCCGAGGAGGGCAGATCGTCTAAACACGCAGCAAACGGTGGCGTCTCGAATGCACACAGAGGGAAAGGCGACCAGGACACACGAGGAGGTCGATCCGAGCTGGATTCAGAAAGCAAGACGCACCCCGGCATTCCAGCGAGTGGGCAGCAGCAGCAGCAGCAGCAGCAGCAGCAGCAGCAGCAGCAGCAGCAGCAGCAGCAGCAGCAGCAGGCCAAGGGGAAGAACAAGAAGAACAAGAACAAGGGTGAAAAATCCAGCAATGCTACTGGTACAATAAACTATCTTTGAGACTGTGCTCACTATCTGAATTGTTTCTCAGCTTGTAATGCGTCTAACCAATGTTTTAATCGTTTTTGTTTTTCCTTAGAAGATGTCTTTCTCCCTAAAGAAGGCGATCCAACCGAAATGGATGAAATTGATCGCGAAGTGGAATATTTCAAAAGGTAGGCTTAACGTGGCAGAGTTTAGGGTGCTTTAAAAAAAAGAAATGTATTAGCTAAACTATGCTTATTGATTTTAACTTTACTAAAACTGGGCAACATTTCTTATTATTGTTTGTCTGTCTTTGTTTGTTTTTTAGGTTTTGCCTTGATTCTGCAAAACAAACTCGCCAGAAGGTAGCAGTGAATTGGTCCAACTTCACCCTCAAAAAGGTTCCTTCCAATGCAGCTCAATAACTTGGACGAGTGCCAGAAAAACTCCACACCACAAACTCTTTCAGTAGAGCCCACTTGGCCTGAGGCCTTCTCTCATTCCCTGTCTCTTCTCTTTCTTCTTAAGCCAAGGAACCCTGGTTCAAAATCCTACTCCATTCAGAGGACTGAAGCATAACGTGTGGCTGACAGGCCAGGGATCATTCTCCAGGCCAACTTTACCCGATGCTATTATTGCAATGTTCACTAAATGAGATGCAAAATTGGTAAAAAAAAAGTCTGTTGAATCCACTGCATCCATGTGCTTACGTATGTAGTATGTAAACAATTACCTTACATGAAATAAATGTTTTTATCACAAATCTGAGACATTTTAACGTTGTTAAACTTCTGAATTCCAATTTGGTGCTCATTATACATGTCCTTCTGCACAGCTAGTTTCCCGCTCACTTCAGCAGTCTCAGTAGACACTGCAGACCATTTGTCTAGTAATGTAACTGTATAAGGAGCACAAGACAACAGTTTGACCTTGGTTGTTGATGATTTTTAATTCGATTGCTTTTCTCAATATTTAATTATGATCATTAAATGATTTAATAATCAGTGGTTGAAAATGATAAACGCTTGATTACCCATGAAACTATGTTTAAGACATGAATTGTTTGCGAGTTTAGTTGATCAACAGTGCTAAAAGAACCTATTGGAGAACGTACTGTGTGTAACACTTGGCTCGCAGAAGGCATCTTATTTAACACAAACCCAATGAAGAACCCATGGGACATGTGCAACAGAAACATCTGAATAATGGTCCCCACTTCTGTATTTGGCAAAGTTCAAATGTCTGTTGCTTCAATGTCAATCCTCCCCTGGTTTTAATCTTGAACAATTGCATATTTTATAGTGATTTTCATTATACACTCCTCCATCTGTAGAAGAAAGTCCATTTCCACGGTTTTCTAACTCTTAAACTGTTATTTTAACCCCTTTATCCCTTCAGTGACAGGTACACCAGTGTGCAATGTTCATGTTAACGTTGGAACCATCACACATTGTATGACACAGTCAATTTCAATGCTTGTAAATATTGAGTGATTATTTTGGGCCCTTTTGAGCCTTTGTCATGCGTTTCTGGGGGTTGTGCTTGACATATATTCAACCATCCTACTCTTTCCCTTTACTGTGACCTTGGTGGCATCCTGTACCTCAGCTAGCCTATCTTAAGTTGAAGTCTCGATAATCTTTTGATGATAAACGTCACTGAAGAGTTGATACCTTTGAGACAAGGGCCTTGAGATTTTCACCATTAACCCATGTTTTTAGGTGACGGCTTTCATTGAGGCGGATAAGTTATTTCCTGAATCTGTGCTGAGATTTTGTTTTCATATAACAACATTGATGCTTTCAAGGTTATATTCAATTAGAGAAGATTATCTTAATGTTTCGAATGTAGATTTATACTATATCAATAATAGCCAAGTGTATGTTGGCTTGTTTCTTTTTTTTTAATTCACTTTTGATACTGTGAAAAATCTTTCGTTCAGAAAGATTAAAAACAATACAGTTTTGACAAAAAATAAAGTGTGGCCTTTGTTTTCTTAGTTTATCTATGAAGTTTGGTTTCAATGATGGATATAAATGCCCATAAACTGTGTAAAAGATAAACCATTTGCACGAGCTGACTGAGGCGATTTAAAATGTTCCCTGAGGTTTGACCCTTCCTGCGACCAGTTCAACTTGGAAAAGGAGAAGGAAAAGCGGTAATTAAGAAAAAAGGAGATCTGGCAGAAAAGGTGGGAGAAAGACCAGAAAGGCAGAGTATCTTATTACATTGTGACCTCTATAAAGCTGAAAGAGAAAAACTAAAGGATAAAGTTATGGAGGCAGAGAGGGAATGGACTGTTTGGTATTCTGGGAACAGAAGGAGAAGGAGCAAGAGCTACCAGAAAGGCACTGTTTACCTTTCTGAGTGAAACGGGGGTATGTAAAATAATCTAACATTAGGTTAGAATAGATCATGGATTTTAGTTTTATTTATTTCATGTTTTTATTTTATTTTTGATTACATCATAGATACGTCCATGAGTTGAAATGGAATGACATGATGATACACACTCATGTACAGTAGGTGGCGGTATGCAACTAAAAGCTGTTTGCGATCCGCCATTAAAACAGAGAAGAAGAAGACCCTTCCTGCGTCCCGTACAGCAGCATCCTAGCTTCCTGTGTTGTGTAAACATTTGGATTGGGACTCTTTATTGAATAGGGTGCCGACTATTTTTTCAACAACTAATTAATTTAACTTCATAGAGAACGTAACTATATTAATAACAACATGGAGACTGAAAATCGATCCAAAAAGGTACGTTTATTTATTCAGCATGCATAGTATGAGTTTACACTGGCAAGCTAACACTAGCTTGAGTTAGCTAGCTAATCCTCACCTCTGTTTATAGGCGATGTATCCATTAAGCAGTTCAAACAAGTATAACTGGCCAATAAACAACGTTACACAAACATGTTTAAACAATATGCAGTTTTCTATTAGATGTCGTATGTGTGTAAACGGTGTTCGGTAAACTACCGCTAACGGTAGCCATAATGTAGCGCCACAACAATACGTGATTGTGACGTAAAGTTTTCTGAAGTCTGCTACAAATACTTTACCTTTTGTTTAACCCTTACCTAAGTATAAGAGTGATATTACTTGATTGCGTTTTTTATTCATTAATAACATCCTGGTACTAAAGCCATTTAATCATTCTGGCTTTAACATCTCTTTCTACAGGAAGAGATAATACTATTGATGATAATGTTGATGTGTTTGTACAGAGACCCAATGTGGAGGAGGAAAGGTCTGTCTTAGAGGAAGCGGAGGCGGACGACTATGTTCCGTATGTTCCTGTCAAAATTAGGAAACATCAAATGGTAAGTTATTGTGCATTGTCCTGTTTTGACTCTTGAAAAAAAAAAAGGATACCCCAATCTGATCCACCGGCCCGGTATCAGGGCACAGATATCATTTGTCAGATCAGTGATGTTGGCCAAACTAAAACTTGATTCTCATAAAGTGAACTAAATACATATAACCTTTTTATAGAAAAATAGCTCTAGGAATCTGCCTTGGCTCATACCCTTAGTTCTAGTATCAGGATAGAAAAAGTGTTGTTGGTTCATCCCTTATTAGCGGTAGCAGCCTACATGGTCAGATTAGATAGAATTTTCTTGAGGAACTTAACATTTCTATAAAAGTTGTATCATTGAAAGACAATTGTATATAGATGTTACAGATGTATACCAACATCACATCCCATTGCCACATATTCAACTTAAACAATATATATTATAAACGCGTACCTCACAGCTACAGAAGATGTTACGTCTGCGAGGAAAGGCGGTGGACGAGGAGCATAAGGACAGTGGGGAGGAGCAGAGGGACGAGGACGAGGGTCTCGGTCCGCGCTCTAATGTCAGTCTCCTCGACCAGCATCAGCACCTCAAAGAAAAAGCAGAAGGTATTCAGTTTATACACAACCCACTCTGGATATAGGATATTGCTGTTATTAACATAGTGCTCATTAAACATAACCTGATTGTATTCTCACTAGCAGTGTGTTTTTGTATTTACAGCCCGTAAGGAATCAGCCAAGGAGAAGCAGCTGAAAGAGGAAGAAAAGATTCTTGAGAGTGTCGCAGAAGGCAGAGGTAAAATTGCTTTCTAGTTCAAATATTACAATAAAAATCACATTTACTTTGAACAACAGTTTGTGAAAAATTTTCTAACTTGAAAACTAAATCTGGGTCCTTTTTTAATTCCTCCTTTATCAGCTTTGATGTCTGTGAAGGAAATGGCCAAAGGTATCATATATGATGATCCCATAAAAACAAGGTACGCTCTTGATACGTTAATTCTATAAAGTAATATTGTTTGACAGTTTAGGAATTATTCATCGTGAATGTTCTCTATAGCTGGAAGGCACCACGGTACATCCTGAACATGCCAAACACTCGAAATGAACGCGTCAGGAAGAAGTTTCACATCCTTTCTGATGGAGACGGCATCCCTCCTCCAATCAAAAGCTTCAGGGAGATGAAGCTTCCACCAGGTGCAAACACGCTCCTTCTTCCACACGTGAACAAAATAATTGTCTTTCTGTGCAAGGCATTTAGCGCGCCCACCTGATAGCCACCTGACAACAAATCTGTGTGTTGTTTTACAGCAATTCTTAAAGGTTTGAAAAAGAAGGGAATTGTGCATCCCACACCAATTCAAATCCAAGGAATCCCTACAGTGTAAGTGCAAAAACAACCAGACTGTGAAATATGGAAGAAATGTTGAAACCATAAACTGTTCATGTATTGACGGTGTGCGTCTGTAGTCTCGCAGGTCGAGACATGATTGGAATAGCCTTCACTGGATCCGGAAAGACTTTGGTCTTCACTCTGCCCATCATCATGTTTGCCCTGGAGCAGGAGAAAAGGCTGCCTTTCGTCAAGAGAGAAGGACCTTATGGACTTGTCATCTGTCCTTCTGTAAGAAACACCAGACCATCCTACTTGATTGACGTTGCAGCTTGAACTGCAGCATTAACCCTGATTGATGGTTACAATAAAAATGCAGCATTTCCTTGCACTTTAGACAGATGGCCTTTACTCAGGGGCGCCGTAAGGGGGTGAAAAGTTAGGACGACTCTAAGGGCCCGTGACTGACAGGGGCCCAAACTATTTCAGAACATTAAGAAAAAAATGTTTAAGTAACCAATGTGATTATCTTTTCATGCGGCCCAAAATCCCTTGCGCGCGCCCCTGCCGTTACTGTGAGCATCAGCTGAGCGTATCTGATTTGAATACTTTCCCCTTCAATCCAGCGAGAGTTGGCGAGGCAGACTCACGGCATCCTGGAGTACTACTGCAAGCTGCTGGAGGACGAAGGAGCTCCTCAGCTGCGAACTGCTCTCTGCATCGGAGGAATGTCTGTCAAGGATCAGATGGAAGTAGTTAACCAGTAAGTAACAGTGGAATGTGTGGGGGGGAAATGGCTTTCTTTATGTCATCCAGGATTTCAGCTACATTAAATCATTCAGAGAGGATGAAAATAGCCAAATGTTCCAGATATAATGCAATCACATGATCATATCCTAACCTAGGCTAGTGGTTGCCAAACTTTTTTTGTTGTGTACCCCTTGAGCTGGTCGCCATTTTACAAATGATGATTCGCCTACATTTTTCTTGTGTTAAACCCTTTATTTTCGTATTTCACCCATCTGCTGCTTGGATGAAAATCACTTGTATATAACTCCCCCTTAATACAAATGCATTTAAACTTGACATTTACCCTTATTGTTAGTGAAAAATAATAATAAAAACAACACGTTTCAAAATCTGATGTTAAGACTAGAGCTTTAAATGAGACACTTGAGCCTACATATCTTTCATACGTTTTGATAGTTCTGGAGGCAGGACACCAGGCTTATAAACATTTATTTAAAAATGCTTTTTTGTGTGGAAATATATTGCAATCCCTAATATTTCTCAGAACCCCTGCAATCCACTCCAGTACCCCTAGGGGGCCCTGTATCCCCAGTTGGGAACCACTGATCTAGGCAGCAAAAGTACTGCATTTCAAAAATACAAGCCCAATGAATTTACCATTCCACTGATTGTAGTGGTGTCCACATGATGGTGGCTACCCCTGGACGACTGATGGACTTGCTGCAGAAGAAGATGGTGAGTCTGGACATCTGCCGCTACCTGATCCTGGATGAGGCTGATAGGATGATTGACATGGGTTTTGAGGAAGACATCCGAACCATCTTCTCTTACTTCAAGGTGAGGTCATCTTCTGCTTCCGTGTGCGCCAAATGACAGCCACCATAACATTGATTATGTTAAGATATTTGTCCTGTGTTGGTTGTTATTTGGTCAAATTCAGATCTCGGTTAGATGTTAGTTGTCATTAATAAATCAAATCTACAAAATGTGTCCATAAAATCGAGTACTCAATACTTTTAGAACAAAGAAGAAAATGTTGTTACTGATACTGTAAAACTATCTGTAACACCAGTTGAAATTGTTATTCACACATTCCTGATGCTTTAAGAGGCAGCACATTTCGTCACCTCCTAAGCCCTCCTAAGATTAGTCCATCTGCCAGCTGTTGTGCTCAATCAGTTAAAGGGGCCCTATTATTCCCATTTCCAGAGTTCATATTTTTACTTACTTTTACACACTTTTACTGTGTCATGTTACCACGCTTTAATTTTCAAAAAGTAATTTATTTGCTCATACTGACTGTGCTGCAGCACCTCTTTTCACCCTCTGTCTGAAACCAGAGCCCAGTCTGCTCTGATTGGTTAGCTGGCCGATTTTCTTGTGATTTGTCAATAGCTTAGTGATGTGTCAGAATGTCCCGCCCATTAGCAAATCACGTACAATGTGTTGAAGCGAGAGTGGGGGTGTACATTTGGGATTTTCAGACCATTAACATGCAAAGAAAATCGAAATAATACACTAAAGGAAGGGGAATATATCAAAAAGCATAATAGGGCCCCTTTAAAAGTTGACCGTTGACTCTT